TTCTCACTCTGTCTAGCATTCATCTCTCCTACAACACTGACCAAACTCCCCAGTCGGTGTTCAGTCCAACTCCACAAATACCCTTCAAACTAAACATAATAGACACCACAGCACTCAATTTCGTCGATGCTATCTCTTACTCCGAGAAGGACTACAACACGGCCTTCGGGGCAGTGGGCTTCATTTCCTGTTGCGTTGACAACTGAACAACCACTGACAGTAAGCGTCGAGAACAGCTGGCGACCTCGTTGGAAGAAAGGAGAAAATACGTGAGAAAAATAGAGTGAAAAAACAACGTTCCTCACCAAGGCAGTTCAATACAGGTAGCCCCGCTCCGTTCTGGTGAAAATCTTAGCTATATATATCATTATAATGAGAGAGAGAGAGAGACGATGAGAGAGAGAGAGAGAGAGAGAGAGAGAGAGAGAAGAGAGAGAGAGAGAGAGAGAGAGAGAGAGGAAAGTGAAAGAGAAAAGAAAGTGAAAAGAGAGAAGAGAGAGAGAGAGAGAGAAGAGAGGAGAAAGTGAAAGAGAGAGACGAGAGAGAGAGAGAGAGAGAGAGAGAGAGAGAGAGAGAGAAGAGAGAAGAGAGAGAGAGGATAACATAGAACACACACATGTTATATTTCAACTGTAAACAATTCATATACAGTTTCAACTGCCTAAAAAAGAAGAAGAAAAAAAAAAAACATAACAAAAAAGACATTCACTCTCAAAATGATAAATAAAGCAGAAGAACAATGAGAATAAAGAAAATGAAGAGTAAGAAAACATGAAAAAGAAATAGCAGAAAATAAAGAAAAGAGAAGAGAAGCAAAGGATAAGAAAAACAAACAAAAAAACAAAAACAAAACAAAACGTGAAAGAGAAGAAGAAAAAAAGAAAAGAGAAAAAGAAGAACACGAACATGAAGACAAAATAGAAAAGCAAGAAAAACAAATAATTACTAAAAAAAAAAAAAAAAAAAAAAAAAACGAAAGGAATTTTTTATCAACAATAAAAACTCACAAATCCACGATGTCAGCTGCACATCGACGTCTGTGACAACATATCCGTTGCTTCTGTCACAGACTTCACTAGTGACAACAGCCTCGGCGTGGGAGAAAGGCAGCTCTTCAAAGGTCAAATTTGCAAGCAGTCCACTGTCATTGGCGATCACTCCGGTTACAGCGTTGGCCATTGTGTAACCTGGAACGTGGAAGGGAATAAATGGAGGAAAGAAGGAAGGAAGGAAGGAATAAAAAGAAGGAAAAAGAAGGAAGGAAAGGAAGGAAGGAAGGAAGGAAGGAAGGAGTAAGTAGATGGAGTAAGAAGATGGATAGATGGATAAGGTCGGTGAAGGAAGAAGGAAGGAGTAAGTAGATGGATAGATGGATAAGGTCGGTGAAGGAAGGAGGAAGGAGTAAGTAG